GTGGATTATGTAATGTAAATATTGCGATTGTGCAGGGAGGATGCCCCGTGGAAATGCGGCGGGGGAATTAATCGGCGGTCGCTCGCTACATCCGTCGAACGATTATGTTTTTGTCCGATAAATGTCGAATAATGCAGATAATCGTAGCTAGATTGTCATTACACGATGATAACCATAAGATAGCTTTCCGCAGATAATTATTATTATCGTTTTTCATGCACGACGACCTCAAATATTATTCTCACTCGTATTAATAGCCGTTCTTGTGGGTTTTTTTTGTTTGAATAAAATATACGGAATAAAACAATCTCTTTCTAATCCTTTTCTGCTAAATGACGAAAATCCGCGAAATATCGGTTTAACGGTGTAAAAATTAATCAATATAGAAACATACACGTATCTTATTAAAAATTTTATCTCCTGTAATAATAATCAATTATAACCGACTGCAAAAGATGTTCCAATATTTTACATATTCTCTTTCGCGCTCACTTATTTTCTAAGCTTACAATCAGATTTTCTTTCGTGGATATTCATTATCGCGTTACATAATTATTAATTATTGCAACTGCATGTGCAATTTATCGACAGATGTTATTAATAAAAAATGATGCGCATTAATCATTGATATAGAGACGTTGCATAATATTTATTATAATTTCGCAGTGCATATGTGCAAAGTGGAAATGATCATTAAAGTAAAATCACGATAACCATCAATCGAGTATAAATATGCGATAACACTAAAATCTCCCTCATAAATCGCGTCCATCGCAATAATATTTCGATCGTAATCATAATTGGACGCGAAAGCTTTATTCAGAAAATAATAAAATGAATAAAATAAATTGAAACAATGATTCGCAGCTCTCATTATGAAAGCAATAAAGTGACGCAAGATTACATCGGAGAGTATCTCGCTTCTACGATGCTTACAATTAATGCGAAGATTATAATTTAACTAATGAGAATCAAATTTTCAAGCCTGGAGTGCTACTTTGCTAGTAGGTGAGATTTCAGATTGTGAAGTCAGAAATGCCGTCCAAGCCGGGGGGGATCAATATCACGTTTGTCATAAGACTCGATGAAGTATAGGTATTATAACTTTCTAGACATTATATCGCATAAAATTGATCGAGGAACATTATCATTTACGACTCCTTGAGACACTAATAAGATACTGTAGAGTATTAATAAACAGAATCTTATGTTCTCCATTTATTTTTATTTTACAACGTATCCGTAAAATAAAAATATATCGTTTATAGCGTAAGACGATAATGGACTCCGCTGGTAAGATGTGGGATTACATGCAGTTCTGAAAATTTTTCGAAAAACCGAAAGAAAAAGTTCTTGCGTCAAATAAAAAAAATATAATTTTTATGTCCATAAAGGTGACGACAGATGAGTTCTCGCATTTCAAACGTATCTGACCATTTGTATACTGCAGTACGCATATAAATTTATCATTAAGTGATACTCCACTCTTCATTTACGTTTTGTTATATTACAATTGGTTATTACTCTTCCCCGTTAGATAAAGCCCGCTTCGATGCGCGTTGCCGGGGATAAATCTTGGTTTCTTTCAAGCCCGCGCGCTCGCGATGCGTCTCCGCGCGGTCGGGTTTCGGAGAAAGCTGGCCAAGATCCGTCGAAAGTTATCGGTGCAATTTGTCCGCTATATCTCTCGAACCGGGGTCCAGCCCTGTCCTCCGTCCTTTGGCAATCCCCCCACCGCGGGAGAGTCCTTTGCGACCGCCAGCCGAACGCCCACACCGTCTTTCCGCCGCGCCGGTGTGCGCGAACCGCGCCGGAGCGTGGCCGCGGTAATCTTCCGTTTCTACTACTTGTGCGGCGCAGCCGCGATCGCGGGGGATGCGCGCGCTCAAGCCGGCTCGGACTACTGGGGACTCGCCGCGGCGCGCAAGTGTATAGTAACGGGCCGTCAGTACGGGGCACGCTCTCGCGAGGAGCGCACCTCGTTCCCGGGGGAAGAATACGCTCACTTTCATCGCTACACACAGCCTACGCTACGCGCGCAACTGGTGATCGATTCGCACTTCCGGGCGCGGGTCGACCCCCCTCCGACACCCGCACGGCACGCTCGTCAAGGTCACTCGATCGAGAGAGCCTAAAGTAGATCGCGCAATTAGCAGAATCACAGCACCGGGGGGAGGGGCCATCGCGGGCTTCACTTATTTTTTTCGCGATACATTCTCGATGGACTTTTCTTTCTTTCTCCCGCTTTGTGCGCTAGCGAATGTTTGATAAGACATGTCGTACTTTTTTTTTTCAATCGTGCAGCAGTCTTGCATCCCTTAAAGTTTTATGTTGCGCCGACTTTCGTTTTCACGTAACGCCTTGCGCGAAGATCATCATCGGGGGAGAAAGTTGAGTTTCGCGCGAAATTCTGCTTTTTCATGTGAGTCTTTATTTCACCATCCGCTGTGTTTGTGAAACGAGCTGTTGTTGAAGTTTGATTTATTAACAAGCCGCCACGTTTCCGTTTATTAAAATCATCGCAGTTGTCCGTTGGAAATCACCGTTGCTCAATGTAATTAGCATGAAGCGAATTAACGTCGATGGGAATGCTGCATATCATCATCCTCGATCATCCTCAGCCGCATTTAATCGATTTGTCGCAGGCGGACAGACACGCAGGCGAAACTTCCGGCAGGAATCTCCAGTGAGCTTTCACGCATAATACATGAAGAGAGGGAGAATGTATTTTTCTGTAGACAGAACGCGAATTCGTGACGAGGATGTAGGCGAAGGCATTAAAGTTTCATAAATGAAGAGTGGCTGACATCGGCGATTTAATATAAACGTACTGGCTTGTAAACAATTTAAGCGGCGTCGGTATATTTCTGTACGAACGGTATACATCAAAATTCGTCAGAGCTCGATGATCTCGAGATCGGAAGGGATAAAAATGAAAATATAGAATATTTCCATTTTTAATATTTCTCGTGAACGATCGAGCGATCCGGTATCTCGTTCTTAAACACGCGATACACGAATGAGCTTCTAAAAGCAAATATTGTGATATTTGGACTGCATGTGGATGTAAAAGCCTGGCGATTATGTATTTTGCGTGCGTTTTCTGTCGGCATTATTTCCAGCCAACACACATTACACACCTTTACGTGGCGCATACCTTGAGCAAATCCCAAACGTTACAACGTTAAATTGCAAGCGTTCAAAACTCGTGAAAAATTTCGATAGCCGAATTCTTCGTGCGTTAGCGTCCGTTTCTACTTGTGAGCAGCTTTTACGGAGAATGCAATGCAAATTCCGGTAGCTCGTCTATGCTGCGTTCCACGGAAAAGTTTTGAAATTGCGCGCAACCCTGCAAACAATCTCGATCGATCGGGAACTCTTAATCTCCCGGATATATTTGAAGTAAGATAAAGCGCTGAGTAACAACGAGGAAAGTATTTTCGGAAATAAATTAGAAAGAATTCTGCTTACGAACGTCGATTAACTTTATCTTATTCTATCAAAATGCTATGTGCTAAGAATTACCAGATAAATTACTTTTATTCTTATTAATATATATAATTTAATCTAGAGGAGGCCTACATCCAGCAGTGGACAAACCAAGAGGCTACATGATGATGATGACGATGATGATATAATTTAATCATCCACGCAATATAGTATTTTTATTATTTTGATTACTAGTCAAACTATGACTTATACGTTAATTATAGAAAATGATTTCTGCGAAATCGCTGAGAAGGGGATATTGTTTTAATTATAACGATCGTTTTGTAATAACAGATCGAGCCACGTACAATTAGAGACGTCTTTAGACACGGCAAGAAATTCAGTTTCATTTGTAGAAAGGTTTCAGCGCTTTAATCTCGTACGAACGAAAATGAGAAGATGAAGCGGAAGGTGGGAGGAAGGGTAACTTTTAATCTCGGGCTAGATTTCTCTTTTTTCGCGCCTGAGAAACACGTGCCTGATGAGCTCGTATTTTACACTCGTATGTGATTTTTTTTCACGTGTATCGTATTAATTATATGTTGCAATTTGAATCGAGTCCGCCACCGCGGAGCGAGTGTTTCGTTCGTTGTCGAGCTGAAGGAAGCTCCACTCGCACAGTAGGATTAACGACCGGCGGCGCGATTAAAAGTTTTTCGCTGAATACAGTTCGCAGCGCACAGACAGTTTACGCTTCTTATCTCCGGTGTGTAACGACCGATTTAATGCGACACTCGTTATTAGGGCGCGCAACTGGTGATCGTTTTAAACTTCCATTGCAAAGCTACTCTCTGATTGCGCAACCATTGTTGTTGCCAAAATAACGCTGCACTGTCTCTCTTTCTTTCTGTCTCTCGCGATAGATCAATTGCTCGCGGTGAGTATTCCATCAAGATATGAATCAATATAAAACGTCCATCGGCAAATAGTACGATACGGGCACGATACACGCGGACGAGCCATTAAATACCGCTAAAATTTAAATGAATAAAACTGAAATATTTGTGAAAAGGTATTTTGTTAAAAAAATATTGTTTCCTTATTCATACCGGCGTTTGTCTGTCGCGAAATTTTCGTGAACCACATCGTCTCTGTCGCCACGATTTTTGCATAGCGCCTGCATTCTCAAATTTCAACTCTATATACAGCCGCTCTGCTATGTCGCCACAATTTCCTGTCGTTCGCATTTCATCGCGCTCGCATTTTCGAACTCGTCGCGTCGCGACATCAGGTCGCATTAGCAGTCTGAAATTTAATCACGGAAAAAATGTATTCTTTTCGAAGCTCTCGCCATGGTTTCTACGTGGATTATCGAATCGATCGATTGATTAGCCGATAGCTCATCGGTCGTTTCCGCCAGTCGATTTACCTTCAGCACCACCGAACGTCGGGACGCGAACCGCATCCGGGTTTGCCTCTCTGGGCGTTAACAGCCGCGGGGCTATAGAGTTGGGTCGGGACGTAGTCGGGATAAGAGAAGCCGCGCGAAAACGAAGCCTCGGCGGGAAGACATGAGCGGGGTCGGCTTCCTGGCGACCGTGAAGACGTTCGCGCCGGGCGGACGCCGGCGGCGACGCTGCGAGAAGCAGCAGAAGGTCCTGGAGCTTCCGCCGGGCTACGGGATGCAGCCGGATGTCGTGCCCTCCTGGGACTCGGCGCCACCCATCACGCCGCCCGCCGCATTTTTGCCGCCGGGCTACAAAAAGGGCTTTCCAGGTGAGCTCTCTCTGCGTCCCGCGAACAAAGGGGTCCTCGCCCGCGAGCGGAGGTTCCTTCTTTGGACTGAGATAAGAAGATTTCACCGTACATCCCAATATGAAGAGCGATACCGTTCAAAAAGAGATCTCAATAAACTCGTACCTCTGTGATAGATACTATGTACGTGTACCTTTGTCTGCTGATCATACACATCACCAATACGGTATATACGGTCTTTCAAAGGACAACGCGATTTTTATTTTTATTAATATGTGATCGCATTCATATCTCTCTTTTTAATATTCATATTTTATTGGCTATTTAATTTGAATGTTTTGAGATTATTATAGATAGCGAGTGCCAAGTGACCTTTTCTCCAGTATTTAATTTTAACGAATTATATATATCGAGAGAGATATAGACTGATCGAAAGTGTGTACACTAATTCTTGGAACGTGGGTGGATGTTAATACCAATAGAGCATTACATGCATTAAGCATTATGCGTTGTTCGATTATAATTACAGAGCATTAATTACAGTACATTGCACTGAACTTTGATTAATTTTGAGTACGCCGCCGCATGAGTAAGCAGCTCCTTTTTTTATTTTGTCATTTACAAATTTGATGTCGATATTAATAATTTCAATTAAATTAATAATCCGACCACAGAAGCTTTTTATCAATTTTATCAATATTTTTTTTCTCGATTTAATCGAACTTCAATTTATAAAGCTTGATGATAAAATTTTAATACTTTAAAACTTATGCATGGAAACCCTCCAGCAGTTTACACTTTATGTCACGTACAAGCCGGATTTAATTTATTAATAAATACAAAAAGACCAGTTATTTTACGTGCCAGTCATCGATGATTTAAACGCAGGAGAAAAGTTGAATTCATCATGCTTGATGCCAGCCGATTCTGAATCCACGTGGTGGAATTAATATCCTTTCTTCGACTTCCGTAAGAAGCACCTTGCTAATATCCGGCTGCCCGTTATCGTTCATTATATCGATTAAACCCCGCAAGGAAATAGAACGAGCTGTGAGGTTGACGCGATTGATGAGCGCGATATAGAGCCCCCTCTTATTTAGGGAAAAGGGAGGGCGAAATTCGAGAGAGAGAGGTGGCGAACGAATGCGTAATTGGAGAAGAATCTCGTTTAAACGAGACACATTCCAGGCGGAATCGGAATATGTGTACGGACCCGCCCTCGTTTCTCCCGCGATGTTTCTGGGATCGCGCGATTATCGTAAATCCTCTCGAGGCAACCTCACCGCGCCGCGGCTCTTTGCTTAATCTTTATTGCACCTCGCACCGTCGCGCATACGTGCTGTGCGCGGGCTCTCAGCTTCTTATTTCCTCTCCGCGTTATTTGCTCTCGGGCATCCTTCCCGTGTGTCGCAACGCGATTGTCACAAAAGCGCGACGCGGGAAGAATGATGGTATAGGGAACTTTTTTTTCGCGAACCTTTTTATCTCGACGAGATGCCTCACGTTGTCAGAAGCGACAGCGAGCGCGCCGCATAACAGGATTATGCATTAATATCTTTTATCATCGTTTCTGAATATTTTCTTGATGTTCACTCTTCTTTTTTTATTTAGTATTACGAGAAGAGAAGCGAGGGTGCAATTGTATCTCGCCTTTTAAATCCATCTGTAATTGCTTCGAGGCAATTTTATCACGCGGGGCGCTAAACGATTTCGCATCGATTAACTATTGATTTCGCAATCTAATCCCGTCTAAGCTCGCAACTTACGGTGTTTCGCAGCGAGATAGACAGTGAACTTTCGCCGCCGGGGGAAAAATCTCCGGCGCGGAAAGGATTCGCGATCTGATTTTGATTTCTAGCTGCGCGATTCAACTTCCGCGGTAAAAATTTGATCGAAAATTTTCCGATTGGTCGCGCGACCGACTCGCGACGGTGTTGGAGGGATGATGGAGACGCTGTTGACCCGAGGGCAATGGCAAGAGACGACATCCGTGAGATGAGAGGTTCAAGTTTATGGCAAGGAAAATTTTCTCGTTGCCGGGAAATTTTTCCGCGCGCCTCTCATCCGCAATTAGTGCAAATCATGATCTGTTAAGCCGTGCAGCTATTGATAAAAGAATTGATGTGTAATATTTGCAAAAAAATTTACATCAATCAAAATTTAATTGACAACTTCAGAGATATTAAATGTTGCACGCATAATTGCATTTCATATACATATCACAAATATTACCCAACACTTAAAGTAAAATGAGTACGTGAACTAAATTTAAATATATTGTTTAACATTTGTTTTTTATGTTATACGCTAACATTTATCTTTCATGCAAATAAGACGTTCTACCAGTTACATTAATTCCATTAGAAGTTTTTCGGCGTTGATATCTCTTCATATTTTCTCGACGTGATGCGATAACGCGCACGAGCTCCCGAATAATTCATAGCACGTGCGATATCTCGGCCGTCTTCTGGCGATTAGGTCGAGGTCGGTGATTCTCTCTGCGGTCGGCACCCCTGGCTCGTCCTCCGCGGATCCATGAATTTACCGTGATTATTAACGTCGGGCGCGGTGACAACTGGGTCGAATTTTTCATTGATGAATCATGGAGGCGCCGTTCGCACGTTCCTCGAATTCCGAAACTCGTGCGTCCCAGTTTCCTCTCGTCTTCTCTCTCTCTCTCTCTCTCTCTCTCTCTCTCTCTCTCTCTTTTCTCGTCCGTCTCTCTTTCCAGTTTCTGTTTCTCTGTCCTCCTCCGTCCGTGGCATCGCTAAAATACGATATCTGCATCGCCGATGATAAATCCGTGCGACATTTTCTTTTTTTCCATCCTTCGTTTATTTACAACACTCTGAGTAGCTCACGTTGTGTCCCTCTGTCACGAGTAATATTGGTATCGATCGCGAAATGATGACACCTCGCGCGGATGATTAAACTATGCGGAAGTCATGCGGAAGTATTGCACCCCCGTGGAGGGGGGTGGGGGGACAAGCTGTCAGAACGTGGAAGTAATGAATGAGACTGCACCTCCCAACCTTTACTACCCTTTACCAAGCTGAAAACGGAGTACATTAATATTATTTAACTGAAATTGGAAGAATTATACTCGTATTCTTTCTTATTTCTCTTATCTTCGCTTATCTAATAGCTTCAGAAAATTGGCGGAAGTTTTATCGTATTTTTTTATTTTTTTCAACGAAAGAAAGGGAAGCCCCGTAAATTGAACGGCAAAGGAATATCTCTAGATTTTTATATCGCTGCAGTGTTTCGAGAAAACTTTTCGCGCGTTGAACGACAGCTATGAGAAGTACGTGCGTTTTATTTAATATCTCCCTGGAAGCAAGTAGCGCATGAAAGTCTGCGAGTAGGCGGCACAAAAAAAAACCGTGCTCGCGATAGAGAGCAACTCTTTGTGCGAGCAGCATCGCAGCGGGCCATCGCCGGATGGATTATGATGTTCCGCGCGCGCGTTCTTGCTTTGGCGCTGAAACAGAAAATCAATATCGCGTGCAGATTTCAGGCACTTTGGCTCTTTATCCGATCATTACGACGACGGCCGTTAAACGTATAGAGACTCCGATCGGGATTATCCGCGTATAAATTCTACCCGCTCATGATTCGCAGATACTTGACATATGATAAATGAGCTTTTTGCGCCTGCACGTGCGGGGACTCGCGCGCGGGCGGATGCAGACCACGTTTCGAATGTTGCTTTTTTTCGGAGCTTTTTAATCCCACGTCTGGAATTCATAATAGATATCGGTGATGTATTTATGGACTCTCTACGCGAAGAGAGAGAAGTGCGGAATTAATGTTTGAAAAATTTATATACTTCTGCGCACACATACACACATACACACACACACACACACACTTCCGCGACTTAACGGTAACAATAGCGTAAAGTTGAATTTTATTACGCAACAAGATATTTCTTAAAAATCTAGTATATATATTTATTATTTTACATTGTCGAGGAATACATTGTTGATTGTTGGTAATAACGAGAATGGCATTTCGCTAAAGTTATCATTATGGAAAAATAAATCGAGCCTATTTTGTTCCGTAAATTATGCGCGTATTTGAATACCATATTTCTACATTTTTTGAATTACATCCGGGGCCGCAGGCAAATATGTAATTCACGAATGACCTAACCGCGAACTCTTATTTAACTCATGCCCTTTTCCCTAACCTCTCGACAAATATTCATGTCGATCCTTTCAACGTACAACATAAGCGGTACCCGTATTTAAATAGACCGGCAGCCAGTTTGCTCGTATAGCCAGGATCAGAAAAATGATCGGGGCGCCACTTTTCCGTCGCCCACGGATTCCGTGTACGAAGAATAGCTGGCTAATTCTATCGCTGCGTGTTAAATTGTTCACTCGAAATTATCGACGAGCAAGATGGATGTAATTGCAGTAGCAACGAACATCGTCGCAATTACTGTCTAAAAATACCGTCTGACGTAATGACGTTACATAAATTGAATTTTCATTATAGATTTTGTGTTTACTTTATTTGTAACATCCATTATTAATAGACACTTTGTTATTTAAGGCGTATACATATATTAATATGAATTTTAAATATGCACGTGTTATAATTCATGCAAGGGTTTGAAAACAAGGATTTTTGCATCTCGGGATTTTTGCGCCGTCCGAGTAATTAGCGTCGTGATTACTCGGCGCTAGTCGGATAGTGCGCATAGTTATCGCTTTCGGTAATTATTGATAAAACGCCGCCATTCGCCGGTCGCGGTCTAATACCGGTGCGGATATGAGCACTCGCGTCCGATCCCTAAGGAAATTGTTTCTGGCTTGAATTAATTCGACGCCCCGCGCAATTTCTCGCCCCTGGCGCTTTCGCCAGCTTACTGCAGTTTGTTGTTGTTGTTGTGGTTGCCACTTGGAAAAGCAAGGAACGTCCGGAAACCAATGTTTCTCAACGTTCTGATCTACCGTGTTACATTCCTCTTGTCTATAATTGCCTGCTGCAGTTTAACTGTGCAATTGAATCGA